ATTCAGAAAGTTGGACCCTGAAAATCGGGGATTTTTCTGTGTCACAAGTACTAAATTTCTGGGAGTTTACCATGACCTGTAGAGTACCAGACATCTTTCTGGTTCCAGCTAATGGTCACATTATTCCCATGACAGAGGGAACAGCTCTAACATAAAGAAGAAAACTTTGTTGAGTGAATCCCTGGATAGCAGCATATGTCAAGTTAGTATTGTCAAAACATCTGCAAGTTACTCTGGAGGATTTGGGGGGGGCTGTTTTTTCATTTTGTTTTTTGTGTTTGTTTTTTTTTTCCCCTATTCTTCAAGTATGTAACTCAAAATACTAGAAAAATGTAGCCATTTTAGAGAAATAACATTAGAGATGCTACTCTCTGGCTACTACAAATAACAGGTCCAATTGCTTTTTCTGCCCCGTATGAAATATGGCTGCTTTTTTTCTTTTTTTTTCACGACAGTGTGAATTTGTAAGTTACTTTTCCCTCTTTGATATAATTCCTATTGCAATATTTCCCTACATGACTCCATATGATTATTCTGTTTTTCTCTGAAAAAAAATAAAGGACAGGTATTTGAGACTGGGGACAAGGGACCGTTTTATTGCAGTGGTCTTTGGTCTCAACAATTGCTAATTAATGCAGCTGACATATATATATATATTTTACTCATCATAACCTAAACGATGCAGATTTCAAGGTTGCTTGTATCTGTGCCAGAAAACATTCTGAAAGGAAATCTTTTCCACAGAAAAGGAGAATGACAGGTAAAGTAAATGAAGTGTGTCTGCTTAGGAGCAAGTATTTTATGCATAATTATTTCATACCTTGCAAATTAACTGCATCATATGTGCCTGGACATTACAGAAAACCAAAATAAAGTACTTAGGGCATATTGGAATTTACAATGCAATTACATTTCTTGTTGTAGGAGCGAGGCAAGGAAAGCATGCAAGTTGAGGACGGAGCTTGTAGAGTCTTTAAGAACGAAACTTCCATTTCTGTGTTTAACTGAGCTGCCTACTCACTACCACAATACCGCTAATAAGTAATATTCAGAAACTACCCATGGAATACAAATGGAGTTGTTCGTATAAGCTTCTTAAAAAGTGAAGGAATAAATACTGTCTCCTGGGTACAACACAGGAGCTATATTTTAGTATGAAAGACTTTAAAAAGAAGCTTGGTGTTTCCTGCTGCCTTTTGTGGGGAATCAGAGACATTTGCTGCTGTTTGTATTGCATGGACATTTCAGTATATAGGAAATCCATTTATTAGTGTGTATCACACTGCAAATTCATGAAGAATTTTCGCATACATATTCTATTTCTTTGTTTCCAGATGTTAATTAAATAAGAGAGAACATTTGTGGTACTTTGTTTAAACTACTATGGTAGAGCCTCAAATTGGCTTGAACCTTGTTGTAAAATTGCCCTGGCTGGGGCAATTATCACTTCAAAGAAAGAGCAGTCAAAAAGCTGACAGAAAGCTTTTGAAGCTCATGTCCTTTAAATAGATAATAATAAACTAGATGGGATCAGACTTTAAGAAATCAGATCTGCTGAAAGAGATCAAATGCAGGGTATTCTAAATAAATCTCCTTGCCATCCACCAGCCCCTTGAGAAGAATGTCTTCTCCTCAAAGCTTTTACTTGTCATTTGATATTTTTCAGTAGCTGGCTTGTATTCAGGCTCCACAGGCTTCGTTGCTCCATCAGCCAGGCTTGGCAAGGGTTTAATATCCCATGTGCAAGACCCCTGTGACTCTCAAGTCTTCATGCCTGGAGATTGCTAGCTGGCTAGAAGTACTCCTGGCTTCTCTTGTGCCACCAACCGTTCATTTGCTGTCCCAAGGGAGCAGTCACCCTGTGCACCCTGCCCCAAGGTGAGGAAGCAAGGACTAGGCAGTTAGGCAGGCACTTTTTCAGTCATCCAGCTTCACCCTTTTAGCAAAATGCACCTAACACCGAAAATAAATAAATAAATAAAAAGAAAACACCTGGCATCTATCACAGCTGTCAATTTCATAAGAGGAACTGGTGTCTTTCTGAACAGATATAACTAAGGATATAGACATGGATGTAGGAATAAAGTTTGAAAATGAGACTACAAAGACTCCACCTAGGTGCTTGCCTTGTCTAAGCAATAGCAGTAGAGTTTTCTCATTGGTTTTCTGTCAAATCTGTGCAGGCAGGAAGGCTTACAGATGTTTAGGTTTGAAATTGATGGCACAGGTAATTAATTTCATTTAAACTTAGCACTTATAAAAATGCTTCTGACAAACAGCTTTCCTGCAGAGGAACATTATGTCAGTGCTATTTGCAGCATTTTTTTGCAAAGGCTCTGTGTTGGTATTTCCATTACAAAACTCTCTGTTCTTTCAATAAAAATTCACTCTGGGCTGAAACCTGGAAAATCTGATCTCAGCTCTTGATCAGTGGTTGTTTTTACCAGTTTTTCAGCAAATTGACTGAGGTGAAGTTTCTGTGTTGTACAAAGGTTAAAAAAGTTGTGGAGGGAAGGAAATGAGGGAGGGGAGCAGCAGGAATGTAGATGATGCAAGTGGTTTATATTTCAGTTGCTTTTTTCTCTACCAGTAGGATCAAAATGGTGTGCTGTTGGCATGATCTGTAGACCATTTGTGCTCAAGTGGCGTTCATTACAGTTCCTTTTAGCTCATGAAATTCTGCACATTGCCCAGCTATACAAAAATATTTCAACAGCTACATAAATCTTTATCACAAGGCAGTAGCAATTGAAAATTATAACAAAATAAAATATGATGTAAGATGATACACTGCAGTATTTTTTAAATTGTTTCTGATTAAGGGGAGGCAAAAGTCACCATTTCTAAATTATGAGGTGCTGAGGGGATTTTGGGTGGTTTTCTATGTGTGTTTTTCTATTTCCTGTGCTGATCTCCAGTTGATGTATATCTGGGTGTGGTGATAATCAAACCATGTGGAAGCACTGGGTCATTTTGAAAATTATTTTTTTATGAGAGATCAGTGATGTGAAACTATGTCTGCTCAGTTTGCATCTGACTCGAATTGAAAAGCTGAGAAAGGAATTCTGAGTTCCCATCTACTTCCATGGAGACAGCAACAGCTTCACTGCTGTGAGGACTTCTGGCTAGTAAAGCAGTCATCAGCTTTGCCTGCTATTTGGACTGGAAGAAGCCTGCTTCTGTGTGCTTTTTGTTTTCTTGAGCTTGGTTTTTTGGCTGTTATGTCGGTATATCAGTATACACATAGTTTCTCATTTTGTGGCTTTTGTTTTGCTTGCTTATTTGCTTTAATGTTGCATCTATTTTCCATCATTATACGCTTTTTAAATTACATACTACATAATTATTTATTTCTTCTTGTGGCTGGCCAGAAGATATCTTAGTTATTTTCTGAATGTTATGCACAATCTCAGTCACTTTGATGGGCCTTCTAGCAGTTAATGGCATGCTTGTATGTTAGATCTGCTTAAGCTGTCACCTTTCAGTCATCAAACCCTGCAGAGAATAAGTCAAGCTTTATCAGGTCTACCCTGAAGTAACCAAGGAATTCACTTGAGATCACTGCAAAGAAACCTGAATGGGAGCCTTAGAAAGCAACAAATTCAAGTGACTTTTTTTGCTGAATCTTCATGTTAGCTGCTTATTTTGGTGTAAATCTTTCTGTATTGACAGCTCTTGGAGCCTTGCAATGGCACAGAAACATCCAGATCTAGTAGCAAAAGCAGCACAGTAAAGCTGTGTTTTTATCATCGAAAGATATAAATGTTAGGAGAAGCAAATCTGAGAGCCTTTGGGGACTTTAGAAAGAGCTGGGTAAGAACAGCATTAGAGACTTGAATGTCTTGGCTCTTCTCACAAATTAAAGCATAGCTCTCCCAGTAATTATGATAATCCCGTTTTACTTTTGACTTTCAGAGGCTTACTATAAAATCAGACTCACTGAAGGCTGAAGTACTGTCAGGTCAAAAATTTGAACCTAGAGGTATACAACAAAACTTTCTGAGTTCTAGAGGCTTTTTTTACTGTTTGCTTGAGAGAGTTACAGTGTTTACTTACTTATGGTGCAAGCATTTCTATGCTGTGAATGACTTGATTAACATGTGTAGATTTCCGAAACAGCCTTACTGCAGAGAAATGGGATGTTTGGGAATGTTTTGACTGGTTTTCATTATAAAATGTGGGTTAAGTGTAGACTTTAAAGTATTTAAAATTTTAAAGCATTACTCAAAGTTACATTTTGAATTTAAGTCACTCTACCTGCTCCTCTTCCCTTTGTGATTTTCATGCAAACAAAATTCTGTTAGGAAGGATTTTCTGACAGCAGATCAGATTTTTAGTCATAATCAAAAAAGTAAAACCACTATATGCAACTATATCTTCATATTATATTTAATATGTTTATATTTATTTTATATTTTTATTATATTTATATTATATATTATAGATGCATGGAACTTTTGATATAGTAATAACAAGATATACCCTTACAGCATTCAAGAAATCTGATATTCCATCACAATATGAGTAGTAATGGATGTGGGAAAAATCTGTAGGCAAGGTATGCAATGTTAGACTTTGCAGTTGAAAGCATAGTTTGTTTGTAAATGAAAAAGGATTCTCAATATTCACCCACATTTGTAAATACATGAAAAAGAAAATGATTTTAGGGAAGAGTTGGTTTAGGCACTTTACAAAGGTGTTTGAGAGGCAGAAATCAAAGTTAATGATGTTTTTTTTTAGAGAAAGGACAAAGGTAACTAAAGCCCCTTAGTTTCTACATTTATATACAAGTCAATCAGTACACTGTTCTAAAGTGTGATGAACTCTTGTACTTTATTCCACAGAGAAAACAAACTGCTATGCAGGAAGACAACTGTGTCTATATCTCTGTATTCTAGCAAGTGGTGTAACTGGGCTACTTCATAGACCCTCTTGTGTAATGTACCACAGTTTGTTAATATGCTGTTTCTTACCTTATAACATGAATTTTTATTTTTCAGCTCTGAGGGACAACAGGATTGAGCTGGTCAGAGCTTCATGGCATGAGCTGAGTATCAGTGTCAGCGATGTGTCTCTGTCGGATGAAGGGCAGTACACCTGCTCTTTATTTACTATGCCTGTCAAAACTTCCAAGGCTTTTCTCACTGTTCTCGGTAAGTTTAAATAGCTGAGCGTAAACAAGCAAGTGTTAAACTTCTTAGGCTTTTGGCAAATTATGATAAGAATGAACTTCTCTAAAGCTTGGCAGAAGATAAATGTAAATGTCTGATCTTGTTTCCCTGATGTTTATTGTTTCATATGACTGTGCTGAAAAATAACATGACTCTTACTGTTTGCGCTGTGGCAGGGTAATGAATTAGGGAACACACAAATACCAAGGTATGAGTACTTGGTAAAATGGACATAACCTCTATATCCCAAGCATCAGAAGACATAACCTCTACATCCCAAGCATCAGAAGTGCAAAGAAGGTGCATGCGTTCATCTCCTAACAATGTATTGTATAGGGCGAAGAGGGGGAAATCAGAAAGCATGACATCAAAAGGGGCTTTAGAGCTTTATCATTTTTCCTTAGCTGTGCGTTTTCTTGGCTCATTCTGTTTTCTTTTTTTGTCTATAAAGTGCATATTTTCACTGGGTTTGCTGCTTCTTTTATACTTTATCCTCTAAGTGCTCTGCTGTTTTCTCCAAAGGTTATAGATGCACATAGAAAAGCAATAGATTTCAAGAGACGCCCAGGAAATAAAGTTTCTTCTCGAAGCTCTATATGATTCTACGAATGTTAGTAGCCCAATCAGCCAAAATTGCTATAGTTCATTGAAACACACCTGTGTACCTAAGATGTTATATGATTTTAGAGATTGATTTTCATTCTTTTCTTTTCTCTGTCCCTGAACTCGACTCTTTGTTTTATTTTTATATGTAGACAGTCAGTTGAATTTAATAGGACTAATGTAAGATGTTCTCTGCACCAGTAATATTCACATTAATCCAGCCGGGGAATCGGTTTTGTGCATAGGATATAAAATACATCTCCCTTTCTGTCCCCGTGAGACTATTGTACAAAAATCTTCACAGTTTTGCCATTAAGGACAAAAAATACCCACTCAAAGCAGAATATTCTGGAATACAACTGCCTGTGGTTAATCCTCTCTGTAGAGAGGCATCTCATGACCTAAACAATAGAAGAGTAGACAAGATCAACATTTTAAATGCCAAAAAGACATAGAAAAGTGTTACAAAGACAAAAAAAAAACCAGCTAGCCACTGTTTATCAGCCAAAGTAACTTTATTTTTCGCAGGTCTTTTATGTTTACCTTCCTTTTGGGGAGAGTATAGTGAAAATTTCCGAAGATCAGCTACTTACTTTCCAAGAAAGAAAGCTGCAAGGTTTAAGATGCTGATCTTTTTTGGTTTTGTAATTTTCTATTTCAAAGTAGCATTTTAAACTCTTGGAGCTCCTTCTACCTGAGAAGGGTATGTTTTCTGTTTGAAATGTATTACATCTTTTAATCAGATAAAATATCCTTTTATGTACTAATAATCTCTTTATTGACTACGCTGTTATGGATTAGAAGATTTAAGTGTCAAGGTATTATAGTAGACACCATTTTCTGTCCTGAAAGAGAGGAGTAGATTTATTACAGAAATGTATTCTGCGATAGGTACTGCTGCTTCGGTTTTATGTACGTTATCTGTCATTTTGGAAAAGAGATGTAAACAAAGCAAATTGTGAAACACAGGGCACAGGATCAATTGCTGTGAGTGATCCCTTTATCTAGCCACAAATACAAATGTGTCAAAATGCTGCAGATATAAGTTATAACAATGACATCTTCAGAGATTTTAAAATTACGGTCATCAGTATCACTTTAAATTAGTCTTGTGTTTTCAGAAGTCACATGGATTTATACATGCAGTGATTAAATTTTTCCCAAATTTTTTTTCATAGAAAAGTAACTAGTTCCAAATTTAATGTTATGCGTATAGTATGTTGTGATCATCCAAACTCCTCTAAAGAACTGGGATTCAGCTGAGGAATTCTCCATTAGCCAATGGAATTGTGATTATAACTATTGTCTGAAGATAATGTATGAACAAACTCCTGTATTTATTTTCATCCTCACTTTTTCTTGGATTTTGTCTGAAAATCTTCATAATTCATGCTTAAATATCTGTTCTGAACTTAGATCAGTTCAGCTTTCCGTTGCCAGTCACATTTTATTTCCACAGCTGTACTTGCTGTGCAGACCAGTTTAAACCTTATAATAACAATTCAGACTAGAGCCTCTTGCAGAATATACATAGATAAGATGATTTTTAAAATATAGCCTGTTTCCCTTAGAAAACTAGGTAATTTCTGTTTTCTTTAAATCTTTTAGAATCAACTACAGTTGAGATTGACATTTTATTTGCAATAGGAAACAGGATTCACTGACAGCGCAAGGAATTATTTCCTGAATTTAGAACACATAAGGAAGTGAACTTTATGTTGGTCATATATTATTGTCTCTGATAGTGTCAGTTGCTGCCATTTTGCTTGTTTGCTTGTTAGGTGTTCCTGAGAAGCCACAAATCACTGGATTTACCTCACCAGTTATGGAGGGAGAGAGGATGCAGCTTACTTGCAAGACATCTGGGAGTAAACCAGCAGCTGACATCAGATGGTTCAAGAATGACAAAGAAGTTAAAGGTATTTAAAAGAACTTTGATGTCATTTGGTCCAGTAGTCAAAACTATACATTATGTAGAATTCTATTTTTTAGTGTTTGTAAAGTTTCTCATATTTAATCATTAAATGAATCAGTGATAGTACGTAGATAAGGAAATGATTGTGAATTACTGGATTGGTCATATAACCATCTTTTTATTTTATTTAGTCAAATGGTAGAAACTGATGGTTTGAATTGCTTTGAACTCTCTTCAGCTTAATAAACTCAGTTTCACAGAGAAATATTTGGGGTATTATTATCACAGCCATACCATTCACCGCAGATATTTTGCCTTTTTAATATGACACGTCTCAGTTGGTCAATTGCCAGTTTTACGTTACACTCTAAGTCACTGGGTGAGGCAGAGCCATCTGGAGGAGACAGGAGATTGCTTTCCAGGAGGGGAGTTATGGAGCCTGCTTTGGTGCCGAAGTCAGATTGTAACAATTGAAGGAATCTTGGTTGGGAGACTGGGAACCTGCAGCTGAGGCAAGGATGCTGAAAGTCTGTGGTGAGGAGCAGGGAGGAGATAGAATTTAAAGGGGCTGAGGAGAACTTCACAAGGACTGGGGAGAATTGGACAAAGTGTGCTGTAACTGAAAAGTCATGGGGTGACTAAAACCAAAGCTGAAAGCATGGGTTTGCCTTTGAAGATGCAGGAAAATAGGAAAGACTTGCATATAAAGGTATCTATTTCTTTTCTGTCTTCTCTTTCACTTTTTAAGTTCTTTACTTAAAACTTAGTTTTGTAGTCCATGTCTCAGAAATGCTGTGATAGTTTAAAATCCTTTTTGGCAAATGGGTGGGCAAAGCTTCCTATAAAAGAAGGCTTGGTCACACCTCCACAGCCAATTGAGGTTCCATTATAGATCAGATGAATAAAAAGAATAAGGTACTGGTATTTATTCATGTCACTTCATTGTGAAGTAAGACCAGATCAATAAATGATTCAAAATCCACCTTTTAAGTGTATCTTTTTTTAATATATATGAATCAACTACAAGCAACCAAACAACAGCTTTATCTGCTTTGTCTCATATTTGTCTGGTGTTGTGGATTTTGTTAGCTCAATAAACTGCCTCAAGCAATTTTTCAGCATTAATTACAAAGTCCATTAACCTTCCTTTACTATTCTGCACCACAGTTCAATGTACACAACCATAGCTGTGATATAAAATTGGTAAATAAAGGAGATTGCAGTTGATTGCCCAAGGAACCCAGTCTGTTCCAGAGCATATTGAAAAACACAGGAATTTTAGACTCAAGCCATTTGAAATGTGTTTGAGCACTTGTAACAAGGATAGAAAATGAGGAAACAGAGACCTATCCTTTCCAGCAAAATTACTGAAAGAAAGGCATCAAACATAATTAAAAAGAAGAATTTGCCAGCACAGCTAGCACACACGGCACAGCGCAGAAAGATGACAGGATGAATATGTAAATCCAAGACATGTAAATACTGAAAATTACTCTAAGCAATATCAGTACTTTAAAGGAATCACTGGTACAGTTGACCTAGCAGCAAGGCAATACTGAAATAAGTTGTATTAAAGATTTTATTTTATAATCTGAAGTAAAAACTGTGCTGTTCTTTCAGCATGTCATTGACGTCAGGAAGTGATTTGGTGATGTGACTCTAACTAATTTGCTCTTCTGAACAGTTCCTTAAGGGATGGTTTTCGTTAAAAAAGGGGGGGGGGGAAGGAGCAAAGAAGATGTGTGAAAAGGAGTAGTAAAGAAAAAAAAATCCAGAAATGAAAATACTGAGCACATTCATTTCAGTTTAGTTTTCTAGGTCTTCTGAAGAGCACATTGCCATTTCACAAAGGTTAAAAGTAAAATAACCTAACCAGTTTGCAGTGGCATCAGCAAAAGTTACATTAGCTTTGTGCACTGTAAAAGGTGAAATGATAAATCTGAGAAAATAGATATGAAATTATATGCTAATGCAGCTGACATTAAAGGTTAGGAGTTCTTCTGTCTAGCACCAGTAAATCCAATTGTGTTACAGTGTATTATACATGACGAAAAAGAATATAAATGATGCATTGAGTTCAGAGTTGCACCAAAGGGGAAAAAGCCATTCTAAAATTGTAGCTCCAGCTCCATTACTATTACTCAAAAAGGAATCATCATCTGGTAAAGGAATACCATTTGAATAGAGTAAGTGTTAGTAACGAGACAGACTGCTAGTAATGAGGGAGACTGAAATACTGAGTACCATGCCTTTTGCTTTAGTGTTCTGTTTCATATATGCACCAAATTAACAAAGAGATCTGCAGTTTAGCATTCTGGTGACATTTCTTGAGTATTATTAAAGCAAAAATATTGGAGAAGCTAAATACATAATTTTGTAAAGAAAAAAAAATCTATTTTTCCAACCAAATTTCTTATATTCTCTTTTAACAGCATTATGTAAGAAATTATTTTTAGGTTTCAGGAATATTTTTAATGGATTATTTTTTTTCCCCTAGCAAAATTTGGCTTCAAAAATAAGATAATATCAATTTGTTTTGTTGCAACAGATTAAGACATTTTGAATTGGTTTATGCTTTTTAGTACACAAGTTCAGAGAGGCACTGAATATTTTGACTTGATAAACTTCTAAAATGAAGATGAGATTTTCATAGGCAAAGCCATTTCATGTCAGAATTTGATTTTAAATATAAACAAACTATACTTGTCACGTAAAACCAGAAAAACTGTCTTTTTAAAAGATGAGGTATTCTATATGGATGTTTCAAGTATGTGCCTTTATAAATAGTTGCCAATGAACAATGAATGATAGACATTCTGTAATTTCTATTTTCTCTGTCAAACATCTATACTTATGATATATAAACTAGTATTAATACAGGCATATATGTATGTGTGCCTATTTCATGGAGTCATAGAAATGAGCACATAGTTTACCATAAGATTTCTTATGGCCCAATCTCTCTTCAGTGGTTAGATCAGGTTGCTAAAGGTGTCCCGAAATCAATTTTGAAAAATCACTAATGTCAGAGGCTCCATAGTCTATCTAATCTAGATGTTTCAGTATTTGAAAGCCTTCATTGTGGAGAATTTTCATTATATGTAGGTATTTCATAATACAAAATCAGTATTTGCCTTGATGTAACTTGTGTGCATTGCCCCTCAGCTTTTGCTGTATGCCTCTGAGAGGAATGTGTTTTTTTCTTCCCTATGAGCACGCATTAGGTACTTGAAGGCAGCAGTTTGATCTGGTTTTAGTTTTCTTTTCCTCAGGTTGAGCAAACCCAGCTATTGTAATCTGTCCTTGCACGTTTGCCAAAATCTTTCTCGCACCAGAAAGCTCAAAAGTGGGCCTAGTGCTCTAGATACAGCCACACGCTGAAGAGAGAAGAATCACTTCCCTTGACTTGCTGGCTGTTCTATTATTTAATGCAGGACAGTGATAGTGATAGCGATAGCCAGAGAAAGTGCCTCTGTAATGGATCTTTTTGTTAAACCTTTTCTTCAAGGGGGTATTTAGGAGAGAGAGTAGAAATGAAATACATGAAATCATTTACTGCAGTAGGCATATTAAAAATTTCTGTAAAAACCCTGGGTAAATATCCTGAATGCTAGCATGCGGTAACATACTCTACCTGATTTCCACTGCCCCTACATCCAGTTGGACTTACATTCAGTTAGCATATATTACAATCACACCATTACAACATTTTGCCATGAAGAAACATCTAAGAAGATGCAGCTGATAAAGTGGACAAGATAAATATTTCTGTTGATGAGGATGTCAACAGTTTATAGAGCGGTATCACCATCCTTTTTACGGAGGTAATTAACTCTGGGAACTGAACTCTTCCCAACAATAGTTGTCTAGAGGAAGGCTTCTAAACATCTGTTTAGGAAATTAATTGTTTTTTCTAAAGGATTAAGCATCCACAACCTCTCAGTGAAATTAACGTTGTTGATGTCTGTCCTTCACCTGCAGTCAGTAAGCAAAGGCATGTGTGCATTACTTGTAAGCAAACAGCTATCTATATAGGTGCTTATTATTCAATTTGGAAACCTAACTCTGGGAACAAAGTCTCATGTGTTTGCTTTAAATATTAGTAAAGAAGTTTGTTGTTTTCATTATAATAAATTTGCTTAAGCCCTGGTCAATATTTCTCTCACCTATGGATCCCTAAATATTAAGAGTCACCATGGCAGAAATCGAAACCTCTTAAAGCTTAGCAAAAAAAAAAAAAACAAAAACAAAACAAAACAAAAAAAAGACAGAAAAATGCTTGTATTCAAGAAATAATTATTTCTTAGGGGAAAATGGGTATCGTGTAACTGTGGTGTCTGTATCTGGAGGCAATGTAAAAGATCATCTCTCTGATTTCAGAGGTATTTTTAATCTAAAAAGATGTAGCTTAATCCATTTAAGATTTGCTTTCTAAAACTGATATTTCATTGAAATTTTATTTAGGTCATATTCTTCTCTAATGGGATTTCGTATAATTTGTAAGACGGAAACCTCTCAGTTTTTCTTTTTTTTGGGACACAGAGGACATATGCAATCTCAGTGTAATCGAATATGGATGTTTATTTATTTATATATGTCTTTTAAAGCTTTCCTTGTGACAAATCACTATAATGAGCTATTTTGCTGAAATACATTCAAATCAGTAAGTATTATAAGTAGTCATGAACTAAATGAAACAGTTCTAAAGCATGTGTTAAGAAGATCTCATGTTGCAGTTAATACATTAATCTTCAGTTCTGATCTAACATGTATGTCCTACAACAAAACTTTCTGAATTTGAACCTTAACCTTGAGCTGGGTTGAATACTTAAACATAGCTGAGGGTTCCCCACACTTTAGTATCTGGGCTGAAAACTGTCAGAGACTTAAGCAAATATGCACAAAAGCAGTAGGCCAGTTTAACATGATACAAAGCACTGAGTGAAAGGTCTGTGAAGTAATTTTATTTCCAGTCTTCTTGGAATTTGTCTGTAGATTCCAGTAAATACTGTGACATGCTCTATTTACAGTTGTTCATCAACATGAATAGGTATACTTCAGTTTCGTTCCGTTTATAAATTGTCATAATTCTAGCCAAAGAAGAGAATAACCCATGAATATAGGAAGTGCAGGATTATTGTGATTACATGCATGCAACCCTTAGTTTACATGGCTTTAGTAATAGCCACGTATTAGTAACAAATTTTGTAATATCCGTGTATTAGTATGTGAGTGCGGTATCCTGTAACCAGTTTTAAAATGTCCCCTTTCAATATATATATTCAGCTCTTACAATCAGAGCAAGTTGAGGAATAACTGCAGTCTGATTTTGAAAGTCTTTTTTTTCAATTGTGATACATAATTGAGCTTTCTAATGCCGGACTCCTTTTCCCCAAAACATTGGAGATGTTTGTTCTTTCTTTCAGATGTTAAATATTTAAAAGAAGAAGATGCAAATCGGAAAACATTCACAGTCAGCAGCACGCTGGATTTCCTAGCAGATCGCAGTGATGATGGAGCAGTTTTAAGTTGCAGAGTAGATCACGAGTCCCTAAACTCTACACCTCAGATAGCAATGCAGGTTCTAGAAATACACTGTAAGTAACACACGCTCTATATGCTTGCTTTTATAGTTCAGTTTTGTGTCAGAGTTTCTGTTCTGGGAAAATTATAAAAATCTCTGATACTGTGCAGATGGGTAATGTCTTTCTTTTAGCCAGCTTCTCTGTTCTGCATTTTATGGTTGGTTAGTTTGGGGGTGGGGAATATTGTTGTTGTTTCCTACAAGAGTAACTCTAGAAAGTCTGTTACGAGCTTTACCAGTGAAAACACTATGGGACTGAGTTCCCAGTTTGCTTTGAAAAGTGGTAGATTGGAAATGCATTTCTCATTGTAGCAATGTGAAGGAGTTCTTACGAATCAAGATCAGAGTACTTCACAGTTCTTGAAAGTATCTAGAAACAAGGGTATGAAGAAGAAAAGTTCTCAGCAGACTGCCTCAATAACTTTGAATCCTGTTAATGAAACTCTGTTTAATGCTGTTAATAATACAAGACCAGGAGGAAAAGCCCTTTATAATTTATTTTTAGGCTTTGTTTATACAGGATGCTGCTCTAGATAATCCAAACTTCAGGTGTTTTGTATCTTTATATATTGGTTTATTTTTTTCAAAGAGTATTTCTGGAAACTTGATGTCTTCCACAGTGCATCATTTCAGAGTTGAATGAAACTGCCTATGTTTCTATGTGCTCTACTCTGAAATCGTGTTGTCCTTTGAGTCATTTTTCTTCTTCACTTACAAACTGTGAGACATGCAGGAGAACACTTATTCACCATCAGACTATGTTTTCAGATTTGCTTGCATTATACCCACCATTCTTCAGGGTACAGCTATGTGGATTTTTTCAGAACAACTGTACTTTGATGATTCTCTGATTGACAGCTAGCAAAACCAGGGATCTGCAAAATACCATCAGAACAGGTGAAGGGAAGTAACCTTTCATGACTCTGTACCTAGGGTAGGTGTTATCAACCTGTTATAAAGCAGACAAGCTTCCAGTAACAGCAACTAGTTCCCAATATAACACGTCAAGAACTGCTGGCACACATAACTTGTTTCTAAACAGTGATATTTCCATAAGCATCAAAGGCTTGTAGCACATGTAAAATGCAGTAAAAGCAAGAGCACTCCATGCACAGAAGCTGACAGTATTGCTAAAAAAGCCATCTGCATAAAAGTCTGAAAATGAGGAGGATGTGGATTAGCGTCCATAAGTACTATGTACTGAAAAAAGCTGTTTTCTGAAATGTTCTACCCAGCATTTTGCTGAAGATCAAACCCTTTCTTCAACAAATGGCTATTAAACACCTGCTTCCCCTAACATGTTCAAATGACGTCTGCACTAGAGACATGGATCCTTAACAGCTTTATTTCCTTGAATTTAAATCTCACAACCATCAGCCACTGAGCTGGCCCATGCCTTCACTTCTAAATTGCTTGCTCTTCCTTCAGTACCCTGCTCGAGATGTTGGCACTAGAGGAGAGGAACCAAATTGAATGAAATAATAGCTAGAGAAATAAGCCAGCTATATGAGGTTTAAAATGACGCACAGAGACTGAAATTTAGTATTATTCAGGGTAAGGACATGGTTCTGGTTTGTGTGAGCAACATAAGGTCACAAGGTGATGAAGCCTTTCTGTGGTCTTGCATATATAAAGCTTCTTGAATGTTTGCTGTTTCCTTCTGATTTGCACCCTAGGTAGCAAGACATTGCCTTGCTAAATAGCTGTGGGGTTCCTGTTTCCATTGCATGATGTTTTGGGCAAGACTCCTCTCTCTTCTGTGGGTTCACTGGAGTTTTCTAATGAGGACAAACTGCACTGGGCATTTGCAGTTACTAATATGTTTTTTGTTACTGCCCCTTCAGACTGCCAGCTTGTTAAAAGCCACAATGCACAAGTAATTATTCTCTGTCATTTCTGCATGCTCCATTATTTTTCCACCAATCAATTTAATACTCTTCAGCACTAGCATAGAGGCATAATGCATGGAAAGATAAGTGAACAATGTGCCAAAAGAACTTAAAGTTTAGAAGAGAGGGTGCAAATACATTTAAAACCATAGAGAAAGCAGTATTTTGGTATTGGTGACAAGGACACTAAGAACAGGCTGTTATTGTCCTTTTCTTACCACTTACATCTCCACGGTCAACATAGTCAGAAGTCTTACACTGGGCTGGTTTCTAATGGATCTTTATGAAATGAAGACTCAGGGAACTAATGATGTGGCTCAGCAGAGAGACTTGAAGGAAAAAGAGGAGAAGGATGATTTACTATAGCAATCCCAAAGACTCTGAATGGAGTACATTGCACTGGAACTGGGCCCTGCATTTTATTCTCCTGCTATTGCTCACCATCGTTTGTGGGTATTACTGCAGTCACTGGATTTTTCCATCAATCTGTAGGACTTCAAACATATGAGATATCCTATTTGTATTAATGAGAGGCATGCTCACAGGAACCAGTGTGAGTTGACCCAATATATCCCTAGTGCCACCTGACAGCAGTTCAAAAATAGTGCTGGCAAAACAGATGGGTTAGGGGACCCCATAAGAAAAGTCATGAGAATTTGTTAATCTGATGTCCTGTAGGCTCCAAAATCACAAGCAAGTAGTGAGGCATTGCTCCACAGGGCACTTGTTCTAATGTCCGGGAGGCATTTCTGCTGAGCAGAGTGCTATGGGAGAATGATAAGCAAGTATCTTAAAATGGACAAACAGAGCAGCATAGCTGAGCATCAGTCAGGCAGAGAATGGATGCACATTGATTAGGCATCACCCACTGGAACTGCTCATGGTTTTTAAACACTTTCATAAAATCTGAAGGATTTTGTCTGTGGTACATGGATACTCCTTACCAATTATCAGTGTATCATCACAGGCTAGAAAAAAAGAACAATAATAAATTGTCTGGCCATTTCTGTCCTGTATAATTATGCTTGAAAGTAAAAAGCCTTCTTTGTTTCAAGCAGCTAGCCCCTGACAATGGAGGAAACGTGGCTTCATCAAAACAAAAAGCACAAAGAAAAGGAAAGTGACTGAACAGTAGGAATTACAGGACTGTGGGTGATAGGTAGAGAAAAAGGAAAGCAGTGTAACAGTTGGAATGACAGGTTTATTATTTATTCTAGTGAAAGATAGATAGAATAAAATTAAATCTGTCCTAGACGATGAGACTGTATGAAACAGATACGTGTAATAAATCCATGGAGAGATGTAGATAGAGGTGTTTATGAGTCCACACAGCTGTTTTTATCATCAGCTTTAATAGGAAGTAAACTTAACAGAACGAAAGCCAGTAATGCCATCAGCAGCAATATCAATACAGAATATACTTTATTTCCTCTTCTTCCCCTTACACAAATCTTAGCTTTTGTTAGTGCGATAAAGCAATCAAATCAGCTTTCCCCAGTACATGAAATGAATCCGAGGACTAAACTTGTAAGATAAAAAGGGTTTTATTTTCTTTTAATATGTATTTGTGTATGTAATAGAAATAATGTCTGAGTCCTCCTGACACTCCATTTTTTTAATAGTTTGATCTAGAAGTAGAGATTACCTATGTTATTTATAGCTTGACCAAAAGAAGGATATCTTGAAGGAGACCATGATCAATCCTCCTTTTCACAAAACTTTCCATATTACCTTTGCAGATATCAAATATTAAAATAATAGGGATGCAGTAGAGTAACCATACTGTACCCCACTCCAGACTTTGGGATAATTAGCTCCTCCAGTCTTGTGAGCTTTATTTATCACCAATTTATGTTATGTCTCACTTGTGTTTAGTCTTGTTATTCTATATATCGTGTTCTGTGCACTGAAGGGCAGCCCAATTGCCCAAGTCTTTGTCTTGCTGAAAGGTTTGGCCATTATTTAGTTTCTGCTTGGCCAGCAGAGGTTTGTGGTAGCATGACACTGCTTGCTGAGTTTATTTTTCCTCTGACTCTTACTGTCAACAGTAAACCTAAAATAGACTTGTATCCCCTGTGGCTTTGTTCTGAAGTTTGCTTGTCAGCTTAGCTGACACTGGTTATTAGAAAGTGCTTCTTGTAAGTGATAAATACGAATCTCAGAGGGGTATTTAATTTTGTTGCTTACTTTTACATTCAAACTAAACTAAGAATGCGTTCTCTGTTCCTGTATTAAAGTATCACAGGTGCAATACTTTAATTTTAAGAGCTTCTCTGTACAATACTTGCTAGACTGTGTACTCTTAAGTCTTCATGCACACTGCTGAAAATACATTTTGTGGGCAAGTACAAATTCTGGTCCACATCTGGGAAGTTAGTGAATTTGCTTATCCCTCTTCAGTGTCTCAGATACATCTTGTTTCCCAGAAGCAGCATCTTTGCATTCCTCCAGGTCTTCCCAGAGCAGAAGCCAGCCAACAGGCTGCTTCCTACTTGAACAGAGTGCCATAAAATTACCCAGTGGTTATTACCTTACCTTAGTGAAGATTCTCTGACTACAGGAAATTACCCAGCAGACCTCAGTAAAAATTAATTGTGTAAGTCTGCCCCAGAGACTTCTTTTGAAGCTTTAAAGTGAAATCAAATCATTTGAACTTCAAACCTAATCATCATGATTCTAAAATGGCAGCTGTGATGTGATCCGTGCTAATGGACTCTGTGAGATTTTGCTCAAAAGCTGACCACGTTCCCAGATGACAGCACTAATAAGCTAAATATGTGTTATGTAAAGAAGTGTCTGGAGAGGCAATTTTGAGTAAATTCTATATTGGCAGACACAGATGTGCAGTGAATTGTCGGTCTGACAAGTCTATAGCCATCAGCCAACTTGCTTCGACAGGGTGTTCAGTGTTTATGTAATAGGCCATTTCTTCATTTGTGGGTTCTTATTAGATTCTTTTGCAATGAACATCTGAACTTGACTTTAAAATTAGGCAGCTATTCCAAGAGAATGTTGGAATTGTTGTCTGGGAAATAAACGTATTGATTTTGAATTAAGCAAACAAGCCACCTTGAATGCAGCCAAGTACAGAGAGGCAAATCAGCAATGCACTTGTGCAGCCATG